TGTGTGTGTGAGCGAGTGAGTGAGTGAGCGTGTGAGTGCACGCTGCCGTGCTTCGGCTGTGTTTGTGTGTATGTAAGATTAATTGATGCATTTGCCGAGGTATGCATGCATGCATGTCGATATCCTTGAGCATGTGCAGGCACGGATCTTCATGGCCTTATGCGGAGAATGCGGAGAGTACAACAGGTATACATCACACAGCTTATGTGGGCGCATGTATATGTGATGGATAGACATAGTACCCACATAGACATAAACCTGTACACGTCTACTTATACAGGTTTTATTTGCACATGTTTCAAGCAAAAAGACATGATGCAGAACTACCATATCATCACAAATCTGGTTATCACATATACATGCATATCTACATGTATGTTGTGCAACCTGTCCGCTGCGTTGTTGTCTTTCTCACACATACACACACATGCGCACGTATGCATACATATAAATGGACGAATGCTGGATGATGAATACATATGCATAGATAGATAGATAGATAGATAGATATATATATATGTATATATACATATGTATATATATTTATATACATACATGTTTACCGTATGGACGGCCGGACCGACCGAGCGAGCGAGAGAGAGAGAGAGAGAGAGAGAGAGAGAGCGAGAGAGAGAGAGAGAGTGAGGGGGGAGACAGAGTCACCCGATATGACAGAGATGTATCCAGTTGGTTGCGACATGCTGCTGACTCACAGGCTGTTTGGGAGTTTGGTGCCAGACGACACGAGGGAGTATGCATAGAGGGCATGGAGCGCATGAGTTTGGCTTCTCTTTTCTTGAAAGGTGTGCGCAGCTTGAACAGGAGAAGTTTCCACAGGAACCCGATGCATCCTGTTGCCCCTGCATAAGACCCAGGGGGTACTATTACTACGTCTGGGACGAGGTGCCTCTCAGGTGCCATGTGCTGCTCCCAAGCTCCGTAGACCCAGAGAGCCGAACTTATCCCTTCAAAAAGATACATGGCTTATTTGCTGGTTCTGGACCTCTCTGGGCAAGCTTGGTCCGCACTTTCAATAGCGGCTTTTGATGCATGCACCCCAGATCCCTGCACCTTGTGCAGTTGTGCAGGAACAGTTTTAAAGTTCAAGCGCCTCGCTCGGAAGGCTCCCACCACTGTATGGGTCAATCAGAAGCCTGCTTTGTCGTGCATGAATCAGAGTTCGTAAGCTGAAATTCTTGCGGTGGCTGTACAACCTTGGACCCCTAAAACATATACCAGTATCGAAATCCTCAGCTTCACCCTGCAACATGCCTGGCTCTCTTCCGAGCAGTCCAGCTCAAATACCAAAAGCCGTGGTCCGCAGCAGCAGCGGTGTTCGCCCCCTTCCACACCCCGGGTTGTGGCTGCGAATGGTTTGGCTTTAGGCCTCGAGTTGGTGGGGATGTAGGTGTTCGAGCTCATATCCAACTCAATACCATAAAGTATGATGTAGAATTCTTCATATAGCAAAATCTAATGATATGTCACTTACTTTAATGGTATAATAGAGCTTAATGTGTTGTAGTTCATGTTTATGAAATGTAACATTATATTATAGTACAGTTTGGGATATGGTGTGATGTATTGTGATGTAATATAGCCTAGCAGAACATAAGATAGTATCATATAGTCTAATATTTATATATATATATTTATTTATTTATTTATGTATTTATTTATACACACTAGCATATAATATTTTGTAACATAAACTATATATAGTTGGATATGCACATTATATGACATAGAGTATCGTCTAGAACCTGGGACACTGGCTTCCCACCACTTGTTTGAAACATTTCGGTGTTTTGGCCCCATCCAGCCTCCTCGCCTTTCGCATGTGATAGTGGTGCTTTGACTGAAGAAACTGTTCCCAAGTCACTGACTCCTTTAGGCTCGGTGATGCTGAGGTTGGTCCATTCAGGGCATTTGGACCTCTCAGACTTCATGGAGGTCAGCGGGAGGCGGGACCATGGTCTTGGAGCTCCTAAGCCAAAGAATAGAGTGCAAGACCACTGCAGCAACTAGTGTTCCTGTAGTCCTTGCCTTTCATATTCTATGATCTGGCCACAGTATATGCTGCTCCAAGTCTTCCAGTGGCATCAGTTTTCCAGTGGCGAGATTAAGGTGCCCAGATCCGTGCATCCTTACAAGGAATTGAAGAAGGAGCCAGATGATCTGCATGCTTGCTAGTGTGCTGGAACCAGGCTTTTTGGGGGTGCCCCCGGAAAGAGAATATCGGCAGATGTGTCATGTGGATCACCCGACTGACTGTTTGGTCGCCGAGGTGGTAGATATCTTGATACAAGTGCGCTAGAAGCAGAGGGTCGTTTCGGTACGTACCTCTCTGGTTACCTTAAGGGCAGTTGCCCCCATCCGGCCCCGTAACTCAAAGCATCAGTAAGCACACATATCCCGTCAGGGATTTCCCTCGTGCCCCTGCGCTTGTGATGACGCAGTCTTGGACAAACAGGACACCTGCAAACGATGCACTCAGCAACCTAGCTTTGGAAGCCCGGAACACTCAATCCACAGACACCGCCGCTGCAGGCCCAACCCCAACACAGTCGCCTCGATTCCTCGGCCCACGGCCTCAGATGGTCCTGGTTTCCAGCACGACGAAAGGTCAAACGACTGGCTGGATTGAGCGGTTTTGGGCCCAAGATCCAAAGAGCAAAAGCTTGCTGCATTGTAGTGTTGAAGCAAGCTTGTCCCAGCATATGTCCTGTCACTTTGCGATCCGAGCTTTGCGACCGAGCATTGAATATTATTGCAAAGCATCTTATGAACCCATCGTCAGGAGTTTCGAGAGCTTGGCAAAGTGATTATGGTTGATGTGAATACTGATGGAAATGAGTCCGTCCCCGGATTAGTTGGATGCGGCTAAAGTATACCCCTTGAGACACCAAGTAGAAGCTGAGGCATCTGCGGCTCGTCGTGGAGCTGCCGACTGTCAAGAAGAGTAGCGAAATCAAGATGGAAGCCTGGGCGCTCAGAGAGGGCACGGTCTGGCTTCCGGGCTTACGGCAACCTTCGAAGCTATATTGTAATGTAGCAACGTTGATTTAGCTACTTGGCTGCTACACATGTGTCAATACCAGGGGAATCGGGTAGGAGTAGGAGCAGGTGGAGGAGAAACTGCATCGGCCAATTGTGGCCTGACTCCTCCACTGCCTGCCAAGAAACACAACTCATTGCGACCATCACAGCAGCTCTCAACGTTTGCCGGCTGTCTTTCACGACCTTGGGCGGCTCTAGTGCCCTGTGCTAGAAAGACGGACACGCCAGATACAAAGACACGAGGTGACTAGCAACAACGTGGTGCTGGAGGCCGCCGACGATCCAATTGTGTTTGCGAAGACTTCTGTGTCTCTCAGCTCATGTGGAGCGTGTCGGCCTGCTGGGCTGCATCTCGTCCAAGCCGCGGCTTCGTGAAACGCTGCCCACATCAAAGCGCACAGGTCGAGAGCAAGTTCTACTTGGACATGCCGCTGCCCTACGAGGCCCCCGGGGTCCCCACAGTCACAGTGGGTCACCGATTGATTGTCCTGCCAATCTTAAGTCTTAACAATGAGTCAGGGTTGCTTGTCTAGTGCTTGTGCCGATTCCGGGCAAATCCGGGTTTGCACGGCATGTTGCCTGTGGCTTGCATGACCATGGTACATTTAATCTCTGACTGTTTTCGGCATGAGGAGCTTTTGAAGATTTTTGAAGACAACTGTTACGCGTCTACGTCAACCCACAGGATGACCTACCAAGTCGCCTGAGAGAGAGCCGAGGGAGGACCCCGACAAAAGACTAAGGACAGGAATGCAGAAGGCAACAGGATGGCGAGATGCGAGGAGAGCGCGTGAAGCCCTGAAGGCCACACCCCCATGAAATGCCCCAAGCCGCTGTCTTCCCCTGCAGCGCATCCTTCAACGAAACAGAAAGAACTCTTAAAGACGAAGCCCGCAACCGAGGGGCGTATCGTTGTTTCCCCTGGCTTTTCGGAGGTGCAGGAGGCGAATGGCAGCGCCAAGTTTGACAAGGTCCGATCATCGCGCTTGTGATCTCGAAGCTTTGACAAATGGGTTTATGAAATTTGTGATGGGCAGTAAAGATACGGGATCTTCAAGGTTAGCAGGGTTTGAATGTTTCAGCTCTGGGGCACCTTGTCAGTAGGTTTAAGCCGGGCCACTTGAATTGGTTCTGGTGGTGTTCAAATCCATGGTGGTAGGCATCTGAACTGTAAAGTAGCAACGACCAGGATGTTTGTGATTTAATGCACCTAGACAAACGCAAACAACTCAGATGGCTTTCAGAGAGAAGATCAGGGGACTTAGCACGTAGGTTGTATGGGTGCTGAATGGTGCTGAGAAGAAAGTAACCCCATTTTGGGAAAGTGCAAGGCGTAGAGCCCTAGAGTAAGCTATGTGCTTCGTGCCGTAGTCCTTATACTTTGGGACAATGTCTCAAAGTGTTTGTTCCATCCATTCAGATCTGTCGTGGTTGAACATAGACCCTATGCCTCCCCAGCATGTAGCCATTTGCTTGCTGGTTCGACCATTTGTAATGCACCGGTTTTGGAAACCTGGATGTAGCCCGAAGCCCTACAGCCACTGCTTGCTGTTAACCAACGCCGGTTCTATCTGCCTTCACTCCGGCAGACGTGTGGACACTTGCCTTGCCGAGACTCCGCGTGTGAGCGCCGAACATACCAAGCAAAAAGCCCTAAAGCCCTAAGCCGTTCCCAGGAGACGCTTCTCAGGGTCCCCTTGCTTTGAGCCGTAGCCCTCTTTGAACGCCATGCTCCATTGCACTCTCTGGCATTCCCCCCTTGCACCCTCCAGTAAAACCGCTTACAGCTGCCCGAGCCAGGCGAAACAGACTTTGACCCTAGAGCTCCCTGCTTGGAGCCCGGCCGTCATTGTCGTAGCCAATGGACCCTTACTTGGAGGAAGGCCAGGGTTTCGCATAAGGCAACCATCATTTTCCCAATGAGTGTTGACACGATTTGGGCAGTTATGGCTTGACCCGTACTAGAACTGGCGCAACTTACCTGCATACTGTGTCTTTTGGGGAGGCTGCCGGTGTTCTGTTTCTCTTGACGTCTTGTATCTAATTAGTAGGGATCGCAACCTGGCAAAAGTAATGGATTACTAATTGACAAAAGACCGACACCGTGAACAGATCTATAATCCCTGCGAAGCGCCAGACCTAAAAGCCCCAAAGCCTTAAGCAAGTCCCGACGCTGAACGCCAACAGTCTAAACCCCTGCATTCCAGAAAATTCTACAACCCACTTCAGGCCTACATCCTAAACCCATAACGGCCCATAACCCTAAACCCAGAACCCGAAAACCCTAAACCCTAAACCCATGAAGCCCCCTTTCTTCCGAGGTCGTCCCCAAAATGCCCGACCCAGAGGCCCTGGCAGTGGCACAGCGCCTCCAAGGCCTCCGTCGATGAAAATCGGTCGCTGTTTTAGGACCCCTTGTAAGGGGGTGGGGGGTTGGGTGTTCTACAAGGGGGGGCTCGACATGGCTTTGAAAGAGGATCTTGGGGTTCAGGCTTTTCAGGTGTCCGTTTGTTGTGTGTGTGTGTGTGTTTGTGTGTGTGTGTGTGTCTGATCCTTCTTGATTGGGGCATTGGGGGGGGCCTTATATGTGTAGCGTACCGGGCTTGTGGGTTCAGGCGGCGCCAGGACAGGCCTCGAAGTGCTTGGAGGCCTCCAAGCGTCTCAAGCCTAAGCCAAAAAGTGGGAACCTGAAGCATGAGCCGCGAAAGTTGGCCCAAGGACCATGTGCACTCCTGGGCACTTTTAGGGGTTTACCCAGAGGGTCCTGACATTTTTGGGACCTGGACCTGCCCAGGTGGGTTTCTAGGAGCTTTCAATAGCAGTCACATGAAAGGATAGAAGCTGAGGACCAAATCAGCAACACCTACTTGACGCGTTAATTACGGCGACATGACTCAGTGTATGTAAGTATACAAGCCGGAATGACTTCCTAACCCTTTGTTTTGTGCTCGGAGGTTTGGGCACGCTCACCGGCGATGGTGATGGCGACGTAAGTGACCACGAGGAACAGGCAGCGCGGAAGATGCCGCCATGATTTTGTGCAGCTGGTTTCACCAAACGATACGTCAAGCCCTGGCTACTGGGGTCAAGGATTCGTGTCAGATCGACCCTAGCTTCAAGCACATCCACTGTGGGCGAGAAGGGCTGAGGTGCAAATCTGATGTTGAAATTCCAGCTGTTATGCGGTCCCTATCCTTCTGGCTACTGCAACGACGACCACGACGACGACAAAGACGACTTCCAAACCACTGTACTCCTTTGGTGTTACTGGTGCCTAGTCGTGGTAACTGCAAGTGCGTTCTTACCACTTGCATCTCTTCAAGCATGGCGATTGCTTGCAGTTGCTGCGGCTGTCCCCGGCCACACTCCTAAAGCATGTCGTCGCTGCTGGCACCACTTACTACTGCTGTCAGTTCTCCGCGTGTGTGTGTGTGTGTTTGTGTGTTTGTGTGTTTGTGTGTTTGTGTGTTTGTGTGTTTGTGTGTTTGTGTGTGTGTGTGGGTGTGCGGGTGTGCGTGTGCGTGTGCGTGTGGGTGTGGGTGTGGGTGTGGGTGTGGGTGTGGGTGGGTGTGTGTGTGTGTGACTAAGCTGATTCTGATGCACGCGGCCTCCCTGACTGACTCATCTATGAAAACAAGATTGCTGAAACTCTGCTATACGACCGCGTGCCGACATGAGCTGGCTCTGAGGTTTAACCTGGCGATGCGAACGGCCCCTGCCTCCTGTCCGGGGCGATGGGGATCACCAGCGCGATGACCCCACACAGAATTGATCGGCATAAAGCGACATTTGGAGATCATCTGCGCCTCCAACTCCTCAGCTGAGCAACGAGCAAGATAAACACTCCAGCTGCAGTGGCCTACTACGGCCAGGGCTCAATATCCGCTGCACTGAAGTAGGCATCGGTGCTGCATGGCATCAGCACAACCCTAGCACGGCGGCAGCAAGACCCACACACAGGCTTATCTGCCTGCACCGAGCTCAAACGCAGATTCATGTTGAATGCCTGGATCGGGCCTGGCTGTGATACGTCCCAAAGCATCCTTCAGTGAAATTCCACTTGGCATTCCATAAGCTTCGCATATGTTACCACACCTGAAGAGAGGGGCAAACTGCAGATCGTTTTGGTTCCTTCGGCAGAGGGGTTGGCTCGGCCGGCTTGGGTTCGGCTTCTGGCGTGCGGCCTATACCCTCCAGATCATCCTATCATGAAAGCATAGCTAGCACGTGTCTCAGAAAAGTGGCTGAGGCTTCTTCGCTCAAGCTGGCTGCAACATACAGGTTGGCTTGATAACCAGCAGTGCAGTTTGTCGCAAAGAAGCAGATTGGCTGGCAGGCACAGTCATGAACCGTCCCATCAATGAAATGCAGATTTAGGCGCATGGTTGATTGCAACGTCACACACAACTTCGAAACCGGTGCAAGGCAGGCAAAGACAGGCCTCCAGGTCCGTATTTGCGCAAGGAGGTTCAAGGGGCTGGCATTAATAAATCCTCCTTCATACGAACGACGCACAAAATCCTCTCGGCTGGTAAAAGGCTGCCCATCCCTCGATGTCTTCCGCCATATCTCCTGTTTGTAAAACTCCCGCGAAACGCCCCAGCCAGCATAAATGCGTGCAAATGCTTTGAGACCACGCTGGCACGAACCATGCAATCTCATCCCTAGGCGACCATCGTCCTTACAGTCGCTGTCTGCGAGTAAGGCTGCTTCCAAACTATCCAGGAAAGTTATGTTGAAGTCACTGGGCTGGGCAGAACCACAAACTGCTGCCACTCGTTTGACTCGATTGGGGAACATGGCTGCCCAGTGTAGGGCTTGCATTGCTCCCATAGAGTAGCCATATACAAGAGCCAGGCTCGTCACACCAAGGGAATCGAGTAGAAGTGCCTGCAGACGGACATTGTCGCACATTGTCGTTCCGCCCTGCGGGAACTGCTCGTGATCTTTACCCAAGCGGGAGCTAGGTGAGGTGGAAAGGCCGTTCCCAAGAAGATTGATGATGATAACACAAAACTTTCTTGTGTCCAACGTCTGGCCGGGCCCAATGTTGAACTCTAGCTCAGGGTGTGTGGCATCAAAGGAGGTGGGATGAAGGATGCAGTTGGATTTCTCTGCGTTCAGCTGTCCGTACATCTTGTACACAAGCCGCAGTCCGGATGCAGCTTCGCCCGTTCGAAGGCGAAAAGATGCCGGTGCTTCAAAAATTCTTGCTTCATCTGCTAGAGCATGTTCCAGTCCCGATGATCGAAAAGATCTGAAAGTCAAGCCCAGCAGCCTTTCTGCTTTCCTGTTGCTGACGATCGATGCGAAACCGAACAGGTTTGATTGACCGGGCAGCATACAACCAGTCTTGTTGAAATGGTGCTTGATCAACTCCACCTTGGTCCCGCCCGTGCTTTCGCGCACAAGTGGAAAATGCCAGACAAGGCAACACAACTCGCCATTAAGCGCAGACAGGTGTCGGTAGGCACATCATAGCGAGTGTCCGGGGCCACAACGAGAAACGTCTCACACCTTTGTTGCAGATTTGGCTTGACTTGACCTTCAGACACCCACTTTTCCGAGGGCTCGTTGAACTCTGTGCTTACACTTTGCGGCCAGGGTGCTTGGATGACAATTCACTCGAAGGCAGCAGCAGGGCTTTGACATGCGCTTCGACGACATCGTGCTCGTGACAGTAAGCCCACATCAAAGGTGTCACTGCATGTTGCGGTAACTTCAGAGGCAACTCGGTCCACTTTTCGGCCTTGATGATGTTGGAAAAGCGTAGGGACACGAAAGACAGGTTGTTTTGCTTTGGCCTCTTGCACGGCGGGCCGTTTTCCGCTTCGCCATCTTCGACACTCGGAGTGCGGGCAGCACGGAGGAGCATCTCCGCAAAGTCTTCGCAAAAACATTTGCTCAAGCCATAATGCTCAAGAGGCTCTGGCACATGCGTTTCGTCCAATGGCAGGAAGTCTGGCATGAAAGCAGCAGGTTCGTGAGACCAGCCCATGGCAAACAAGGAAGAGGAGAACACCACCCTTTTGCTTGCAGGTAGAGCGGCGATGGCCTCGAACAGCATGCAGGTACCAAGTAGGTTTTGTCGCAGCAGTTCAACCCCAGTCACCTTCTCAAGTCCGATGGGCGGATTCGTCACAGGATCGACTGGCGGCGGCGGGTGTTCGGAAGGCCCTGGAATTGCACCGACATGGACGACCGAAGTGACCTTTGCAGCAAGGTGCTTCATAGCAGCTGCATCACATAGATCGGCTTGGACGAAAGTGACCTCATGTGCCCTTGGGCCCCAGAGCTTGTCCTTATCCGCAGGGCTGACTCGGTCGGTAGCCACAACAGACAGGCCACCTTCCACAAGGCGTGTAACAATCTGGCTTCCCAATCGTCCAGAAGCCCCGGTTACGAGAACGGCCTCGCTGGCCATTGCGCAAAGCGCACAGCTCAGAGCTCTCCAAGACTTTGCTGTTTCTTACACTTGCACAAGGCCTTTGTGTCTTAGCTTCGACCCAGCATTCAGTGGTAAACACTTGTCTTGTAGCTACTAAGTCCTACTTCACCATGCATCAGCTTCAAGCATATGGATGCGCAGCAACAGACGGCAACCTGGTTTCACACATGATTTCAAGCACACAACGCCCGCACAACTGCACGTCGGCTCCCGACTCTGAGCATGACGTGCTCGGCAGATGGCACCACAAATGCGAAGGTGCCGGTGGAGCCGCTGGGCTGTCAAGAAACGAAACATGAAACGAGGCTATTGACGAGCATGTGGTCTGCATGCTGGTACAACAGGGCTCTGCTGGCCAAGGCTGGCCTGTTTCGTGTCCAGAAACTCCTGGTCTATTCCTCGGCTGAAACACACCACCGTGCCGCCTCGAACTGATGTACATCTGCATCCTGCGTTTCTGCCTGACATGAGCGGAGCACAACATAAATCACCTATAATCCAAGAAAGGCCCGGTGCTTTGAATCCCAGCTCAAGTCGCCGAACCGTCCGAGCGGTTGCAGCATTGCACACACTGCCGGGGCAGGATCTCGTGCTACTGTGGATGGAGGAAATCTTGCACCAGTTTGAATCAACCAACAAGGAGAGGAACCCGAGCCCCTTGCTTAACATTTATGCCCAGTCCTGCGAAGGGCCGTGGGTTCCACTGACCAAAATCTTGCACCAGCCATATGGCATACTATCGTCAACAGGGGCCCAGGTCCTGGTATGAGCCAGCATCTGGGTGGTGCAAGATTTCGCCAATCAACCGTAGTGCTGGGGCAAGCAACACCCGACCCCCCTCCCAAAAAGGAAAGAGTGTCCGTGCAAAATTGCACAACCTGCACACCCAACAAACCGGAGAAAACCGGAGGTGCACAAGAAGAGAGCCGATTGTAAATGGGCCCACCAGCTCGAGTTTCGCAAACGACATCTGCACTCCCTGACACACATCGTGGAATCGTAGGGGCCGTTCGGAGCATCAGCGACTTGACCGCCTCATCATCTGCAGGTAGCGCTTGCGATCTCAGCTCCTCAAAGCGCATACATTGGCATACATGTAGCCCGTCTTGTGACACTGCTGCGGCAGACAACGCCCGACGGACAAGCCTTACAAGCGAATGCTAGATGATTCCGGGCTGATAAGTTGTCGGATGCGGTTGAAGAAGGTGAAAGACTGCGAAATGCTACAATCTTTCGGTGTTGTGTCGGAAGCTGTCTATTTCTTGGCTCTTCTAAGGCCCCACGTCTCAACTTCATGGCTTGAAATGCGCCATGTCAACGTTCTCGGCCATGGCGAGAGGATCGGTGCCGGTTCAGAGCAGATGCTAGATGCCTTTATTCCTCGTATCCAGACCTTCAGGGATTTCTGCGGCAACCAATTCTGCCACTCCCCACTGCAAAGTCCTCCGTTAGTCGCTTCGCCACGAAGGAGGAGCACTGCTGGCCACCATGTCCATCAAAAACGCCAAAGAAACCTGAACCAGCCAGGTCCGCAGGTTGGGAGTCTGCATATCTTTTTTCGCCCTGCCCCATGTCTCTCTGTTTCTCCTCCCTCAAGTTCCGTCATATCGGCCAACACAGTGGTGCATCCGAGCCCAACCAGCAACGAAGTTGGGGGCGAGACTGAGCCACGGAAATCACCCCAAGCGTGCTTGCTCGCCCCCGAGCTGCTCACACCCCTCCTGTAGCAATGAACCAGGCGCGACCAGACCAAAACCGCTCGTCCATAGTATCCATCGGAAAAGGAACACAAAAGCCTGAGGAAAACTCTGTTTTCATTGCGTCTGCCACACCTTGTGGCAAAGTTTGGTCTCGTAGCATGTCCTTCTCCTGTCTTGCAAACAGTAAGCAATTGGGCTGCTGGCCACTTGCCGTCTGTTGCTCCTCCCCCACCAACATCCAGGGACAAATCTTTTTGAATCATTGACCTCGGAAACCTCCGCACACCAATTGCCCCACATTGCTTTTCCCTTTCAGAAGCTTTTTGGAAGACGTCGTTCTGCTTTACTAGGTGATCCGATCTTTGCCGCTCCCTTCGTAGCAACATTTTTGCGGGGTTATTTCAAACCTTTGGAATGCCTTGCTCTGAAACTAGGTAGTATTGTCCGCAGCCGAAGACCTAGAGTTATGAAAAAAAGTATTGCTGCTTGCTGGTCTTCCTTTTTTCAAAGTGGGTCGAGCTGGTATACTCATATAGAAGCACCTAAATACTTAAAAATTGTAGAAGCTATCAGAGGAAGGTGTCTGAGGCAGGAAGGTGAAAAAGGTAACCCACCAAGAGAGAGGTAAACAAAGGTATCTGAGAAATGTGAAAAAATCACACCAAGAGAAAGGTATCTGGAAAGGTAGCACGCGAAGAAGAAGGGAAGGAAGAATTCCAAGTAAGCACAAGGCGGGCATTGCAGTCGGGGAGACCGGGNNGGGGGGGGGGGGGGGGGCGCTTTTCTTTACCTTTTCCGCTGCCATTTTTTTACCTTTTGGTGAAGCCCCACTTGTTGTTTACCCTAGCCTTCACCTTTTGTTAACCTTTGTTTTACCTTTGTTTACATTTTTTACCTTTTTTAGAAAAAGGCTGGATTTCCAGGAGAGGAGCAGGGGCTGGAAAGGTGAAAAAGGGTATAAAAAAAGTGAGGGTGACCTGCCGTGGGGGGCTGGAATGGTAAAAAAGAGGTACGCAGCAAAGGTGAGGGGGACTAGCCTGCCAGTCCCCCTGTTCCGCGTGCCACCTGCGCGCGCGCCCTAGCACCCCCGTCCCGCGCGCTTCTTTCCCGCACCCGCAAGCGATCGGGCGCCACAGTGCCCTCGAAGAAGCACCTCTAAGCCAAGCCACGGCATCCACCTCGAAGCCTCCAAGCTTAGTGAACCCCAACCGCTGGTGGCGGTGCTATACCTCTTCTACCTTGTTAACACCTGCTACCTTTTGCCTGCACCTTTATTTTGCCGTCTCCCTAATAAGCCCCGAATGGGGCACCTTCCCTCTACCTTTGCCCCCGCAGAGTGCACCTTTCTGTTACCTTTTCCGTGTACCTTTGGATCTTACTTTTTAGACATTTATGTAATAATAAATTCAAAACGGGACAACAGGCAGCGGTGAAAGGCCGAACCGACCCTTCCGGAATCTGCTTGACACCCTTGAACGCCCCGGTTCAAGCGAAGGTGAAGAAGTCACGACCGGAAGCGGTAAACACCCTTGAACGCTGAGGCCAACAAGAAACAATCGACCCCCCAAACATCATCAAACTTTTTGCTTCCCCCCTCTGAACGCTAGCAATCCCAGGTCGTTAAATACACTCCTTTGGTCCGGTCCCGTGCCCCTTCCCCCGAGTGAACGCAAGCCTTTTAAGAGTGATACCGATACATGTGCTTAGAGGGTTGTTGGCTGCTCCGATACCCCTTTAGGGGCTCAAACACAACTTCCTAAGCCTCCGATACACCTTCCTAATCTGCTGCCTCTGAAGGGATTTTGGGGGCATCCAATACACCTTATCACTCGGCTTTGGATGCTGAGATACACCTTCCTCGTTATGGGAGCACCCGATACACCTTTGCAAAGGGTTTTGGCGGCGCTCAGATACACCTTCCTGAAGAGGTTTTGGGGCATCCGATAAGGCCTGCAAAGAGAGTCGTTGTCGTGAATAGACGGCTAGTTCCAGCACTACTGAGTGCTGCTGCTGCTGCTACTACTACTACTACTACTACTACTACTCCTCATGCTGCTGCTGCTGCT